ACACAAACAACAAACACCAACATACAGTCACATTCACATGAATAAACATACACATCATTTAAAGTCCCTAGATGTTTGCCTCACTACATTGTGTCATTGTAAACCAAATTGGTTTGTTTGGTCAAATAAACTTGTTTTTGGTAGTGGTGAAAATTGTTTGTACTTTGGTAAGACTACTGGGTAAGACTTCCATTTCAAATATTGCTTGTTTATTTAAATACAGATACTGTACATCCAGATGTTGAACAGTCGCACTGTGCTAGGATTGTGCCTCGTCATCAGTGGCATTGATTGCAGATGTTCAAGGAATAGTTTTTTGGAAATACTCATATATGCATGTAGATAATTAGGTAACAAAACTCTCTAATTATCACATGTTTGACCATGCGAATGAAGCTGGAGTAAGATGGTGATTAGCTTAGCTTGGCTTAGCATAAACACTGAAAAGAGGGGGAAACAGCTAGCCTGGCTCTGTCCAAAGTTTTAAAATATGCCTAAGTGTAAATTATTGTATGTCTTTACTAGGGCTGATCCCCAATAGTCGAAGATTCGAGGCTTCGATGGGCGGAGCCTGATTCGACTGTCAATCTCACAGTCGAAGCTTCACAGTGAAACAAGGATCATGCCATTTTGGTGATATGGGGGTGCTCAACGTCTGATTTTCTCCCAATAAGTTACAATTAAAACAATTAAAACAGCCTATTACAATATACATTTCAACATTTAATGCTGTAAATAAACATCTAAAAAGAAAAAAACTTTCAATAAATGTTTTTAAAAGTGTGTAAATAAATCCAAAACTGTAACCCTAACCCTGGGTCGTCAGTGCACATGTGTAGGCGTAGCGTGTGTGTGTGTGGTGGCGGAAGAGGAGCACTTGCTGAAGAAACTGAGCCCCGGCTTCACTGGTGTTGTGCTACACGTTTTGACAAATAAAAGCAGGTCTCAATTAGAAGCCTGGTCTGATTTTATAAGTTCATTTAATGTATAAATAAATATAACTGTTTAAACTGTCTATGGACATGCTACCCATCGTACATCTGTTAGATTCCCCAAAATTCAATTGTTTAGTTAATTTTATGGAAACAATGAGTTCTTGAGGCTGGCCTAGATGGGCTGTCAAATCATCATCAAATCAGTGATTCGTAAATGATACGTTATCTGATAGCTTGATTTTTAGTAATATTCATACTGGTTGAAATAAACAATTTGATTTGGGCCTATTTCCCCTCTGAGCAAGGGTTTTGTGTAAAAGGAATTAAAGGATTGTCCCATTTAGCCTGTCCCAAATATAGGCAGGGTGAGTTCAGTGATTGAAGCAAATAAATGCCTGGGCTATTAATTGAAGTTTTACAATACTACAGCACTTGTTATTAGGAACTGAAACCTTTTAGAAAAAATAATCTTAACAAAAAACAATTCATATGTTTGACAGTTCTGTTGCAGCTTGTTTTTTTGTTTTTTTTCATTTAGTTCCATTATATTGATCCACGCCTCTAAAAATGTTTTCACCGTTCGGCCCCCTCTCTGTTGTACAATTATTGTATTTTGAGCTCCTTTGTTAGCACTGGGTATCAATCAATCAATCAAAATTTATTTATAGAGCACTTTAAACATCCAAAGTGGACACAAAATGCTGTACAGAAAAACAATAAATAAATGAAAACATCAAAGACACTAAATACAAAGCTTGCACGATGTATGAAATACAAGTAACACCCATACAATAAAACAATAAAATCAGTACGATCAAAACAAGAAATGTCAATTTCAGTTATCAAAGGCCAAGGAAAAGAGGTGGGTTTTAAGAAGAGACTTAAAAACCAACAATGAAGATGCATGTCTAATGTGCAGAGGTAGATCGTTGCTGCTACAGCAAAAGCTCAGTCCCCTTTGAGCTTGCACTTTGTTTTGGGCAACCTCGGCTGACCTGAGAAAACAGGTGGGTCTGTCTGTCGAGCTTAAGGTCAGAGTCGATTTTAACCCCTAGGTTAGTGATTGTTAGCTTGATGTACTGACATCTCTGAACCCAGATTGACAAGGGGGTCAACAGTGGAATAATATACCATGCTTCCTACGTATGGAACCAAGTGGGTTAAATGTTAAATGTTAAACCTTTTTTGCACCTGCATGATGTACATCTCTTACTATGGGAAAAATCATAATCCTTCTTGCTTGTCCCAGATAGTTTAAGGTCCCTTGTTGTGGAAGTTCTGCAGAGTTGTTTTCACTCTGAAGTGTGCATTAGTAACATATAACCCTACCTCTGGGGAAAAGTCTTCTATTAGTAGAAGCTTTGAAGTCACAGAAATCTTTACCTAAAAGCATGTAATTTTCAGTTTTCAGTTTTTGTTAGTATACACGCTATGAATTGTGCAAAGCTTTTGAAGTTGCAAAAATGTCAAATAATTGTAAAAAAAAACATTCAGCAGCAGTCTGAATTGTATGAGTCAAGTGCAAATGTTGGCTTTGCAGGGGCTTTCTTTTTTGCAAATAATATAAAGATAGCCAAATAAATAATGAAAATAAAACCTCGGGATGTCACTTAAGGACAAACTCATATGGTCGTGGTTGCTAGGTGACAGTGGCACTGGCTAGCCATGGCACACAGCAGTGCATGTAATAAACATTACTTGGCCATAAACTGGACTATACTACTGTGTGTTTGAGCCAGGTGAGCAGCCTGAAAGGAGCCAGATAAAAATGTAGCCACATCCAGGTATTTAACAATGTGGTTTTTGTGGTTTTTAATTATTCTCACCAGTGTCTATCACCACTGGGTGACATGTTTCTCCACCACCGCTCATCACTACAATGCTGTCAACTGACGTCTAATTTTCTAATGAACTTTATTGACTGCGTTAATAAAGGGGCTGCTGAAATCCATATTTGGCCACATTCCAACACTGTGACGTACATGACTTGACGGCAAGGACATCAACCAACTAATGCCAGTATAATTGCAGTATATCTGCAATTCTAATTCTCCTACAGTGATATATCAGAATCATAACAAAACTCCTTATTCTCAAAATTCTCATAATCGGCAAATTTGTCAAAAAAAAATGTATTTGAAAGAATAACTTTTTTATCATATCAGTTATCATGTGCCTTACAAAGATTACCAAAATAGAGGAAATGATTATCAACTTTTGAATTTGCCACTACATCACAAAAACATACAAGCACATACCAAGCTGCATACCAACACAAAGACGTACATACCCACATGCATAAATACAAACATAAAGACAGACACATACACTCACACTGATTACACATTTTAAAGTACCTCAGTCACCTCAAAAGCTTGTTCATTAGACATGTATTCACAGAGATTACATCATTATTGTGCCTTGCAATCACGCAGACAGCAGGAAAGATCAAGGATAGTTTTACTATCGTGGATCAATAGCTTGCCCCTCATCAGCACTGCAACAATACAGTAGATCATATGATATGTCTCCTGATTTGCTCTTGTGCCGAGACTTGGTTTGCCAGTAACAGCATTTATCTTCCTCGGTGGAGAGTTTTACCTGTGGCTTTCTCAAGACCACATCTAGAACAACCTTTCTCTCTAATCAGAAAGTCTTCTTTGATGTGGCTTTATGTGGGGATAATGAGTTAATCACGGGGATGGGGGAAATTGAGTGGGATTGCTAATTATGGAGTTAATGCTGCGGAAAGAAACAAGGGATAAGAAATTGAACAGCAGCCCTCCCCAGGTGAGATGCGTGTGGGTGTGCACATCTGTACTTCTCTGTCCATGTGGACAACACATGCATGCACACGTGGGTTAATTTCGGTACACGTGTGTGTATCTATTATGTACATTTACCATCACTGGGAGGTAAAAAGTCATTATGAAACAGATGCCTCACAGGCCCTCGGTAAGCTATGCTTAATAGGTCTTACAAAAACTCATCAGCGGGCCTCCACACTCCCACACAAACTCACACATAAGTTTGCCAGTCACTTCACAGGGATATTGCACATTTCAGACCTTCGATTTCATATACTGTGTTAAATATGGCATCAAAAAAGTGCTTCCGTGAATGATCACAAAAAGCAAAATTGAAATGAATGAAATGCAAGGAGTACACCAATGCTGATGTGTTTTTGTATGTATTCTTTTAGCAAGTGGAATTTCCTTTAGTTCACTGCAGTGCAGTAATGCAGTAATTACTTTTTATTATGAATTAATCTGCCAGTTCTTTAATGATGAATTATTATCTAGATTAATTTCTTAGTCTACAAAATGTCAGAACAAATGAAAAATGTCCATCATAATTTCCCAGAGCCCAAAAGAGCATCTTCAAATTGCTTGAGTTTTCTTCACTCCAAAAGCCAAAGATATTCTGTTTACAATGATCAGCTAATCTTTGCAGTAGTACTCACAATACTTTTTTGCAGTGGTTTATTGTGTGCTTGGTTAATACATTGACTGCATGTAGACACTTCCTTGTTCCTATTTTCTCACCCTGCACCTGCAGCTACATCACCATTTTCAACATAATTTCCCTTTTCTTCAACACTCATCAACATCTAAGCCAATCAGCCGATGACCCACTTCCCCATTCTGTGTGAGAACCTGAGTGTCCCTTCCTCAGCCGCCCACCGCACCCTCCCACACTGCCCTCCAGATGGCAGAGGGACAGATCCATCATTGCTTGTGAGGAGTGTCACGTCCGTCGCCCATCTTGGCGTAGCGCGTGCCGCCTCAGGGCGTGTCCATGCCAGCCATCGTGCCAGGGATCGTGCGCATGTCAGCTGCAGCACCTCCAACGTGCCGCTGCCGCAGATGCTACTCATTTGCAGGTTAATGTATTTTGGTGGAGAGTTGTGTCAGAGCACTGGTGACTGAAGCAAGCCAGCCATCCAATTAGAGCAAAACAGATTAAGGGGCTTTTTACATTGCAAAGTGAAAGCGACAGCCTCTGGTGGGCGAACATGTAAAAGTGCACTTGTGTCCAGAGTGTGGTTAGATAACAGTTTCTTACTGTGAAAATCTTGTTGTTGTTTTCTGTGGTTGTCCGTCTCTGGCAGGCGTATGGAGAAACGCTGGCCACAGGAGTGGGTGGAGAATCTTCTGGCAATGTGGGCAAGGTATCCTGTGTACAAAAATAGACAAAGACTTATGAACATACATACATATACAGTCATATATTGCCTTAATTTCTGAGCTCTTGCAAATTGTTGACAGGCTAAATGCGTAAATGTGTGTAAGGCTATTCCTGAGTAGCACAGAGCCAAGAGTTCAAATTGAATTACATAAAAATGTAGCCATTTGCCTTGGAGAAGTTATTTTTATGACTGTGTGTCTCCAGGGCAACAGGCTAATGACACTCATCTCACAGTCTGGTGGCATCCAAATCCATTACGCTACCTAACCCGTGGCATTACAAATCTGCTTGCAATCATCCAATTTGCCTCCTGTAAATTGCCTTTTCATTCTATGAAGAAATGGTTCCCCATTTGTAATATATGTGTCAAAAGGATTACCAATGTAATATTAATATTCTTGCAGACAATTAGACATCACAAAAGGGAACATTGTGTCCATAAAATTACCCATGAATTGGGTGGGAGAACGATACAGAGAGGGAAGGAACAGGAGAAAGAGGAAGATGGAGCGATTGTCACCACCGATGCTGCAAAAGGAACAGCGGTGTCTCCAAAAGATAATGAAAAGAGCTAGTACCTCTCACACTGCTGGGCTGAATCAATCAGTAAGGGATTCAAAAAATGTTCATCATTTATTCTCTGCCAGGAGCCTTTCCTGTTCTCAAAAAAAAAAAAATGAATAACTTTGAATATATTTCACGGCACAATTTTTCTGCCAATCAAAAGTAAAACTGTCTTAGAAACTCCCTAACTGCGCTCCTTCTAAATACAACAGGGGGTTCTCCAACACTTTTCCACCTCAGCTGCAGTTTGTTTAATCCAATATGGGACTGGGGGTCCATGGAGACGAACGTCTGTGCATCAGCATGCAGAGGTTGGTTTTCCCCATCTGGGCTCGGTTATTATACAGGCCTATAACTCTGTGGAAGTTAAAGCTTTCAGACTGATCTCAGAGGCAGCGCATCCCCTCATGGCCTTCTCTCCAGTATCCTCTCCACCTTTGCTGTATGGCATAGATGTAACTAAGCTAATGTCTACAGTCTACACGCCGCAGCTTCATTTCTCCACATACCATCTGCTGAGATGAAAAGGTACAGTAAGCGTTGCACGACCTCGCCCACTCCTGCGCCGTCCTCTAAACCGTAGAAACACTCCAGGCCTGTTCCTGCCTCCATAATAATGCCTGCCACGCAGGCATGGAAGTGCACTCAGGTGGGTTAATGGAACCCACTCGGGTCGCTGAACAGGGCAAAGGTCATTGAGGTTCAACCTCTTAAGGGAGGCTGCCTGCCCTTGCACCCACACACCTACAGTACAAACTAACCTACAAACATCCTCCTCAGGCACCCAGCCCACCTGTCTCCCAACAGAAGAGGGCAGGCAGACACATGTTCACAAGCCAGATGCAAACTCTGAATCCCTGGCAATCATTTCCGTTTTTTTTGTTCCTTACAGGCAACGTATTCGTACATCTTACCACCTCTCCAATTAAACAGGTTAAACAGCCGCTCTGCAAGCCAGGAAGTACTGTTACATTGCAAATTCACATATTACATTACAATGGGTTTAATGCCTAAAATTCCTCCCTGACTTGCTATAGAATATTCATGATCGTACAACACATTGCATTTTCAGACTATCAAGAAGAGCCACAGGCAAATGTGCACAAGGAGTAGCCTGTTTGGGAAATATTTTATCCCTACATGGTAGCTCCTTAAATGGATTTATGACTCACAAAAACAATCAGCTGGAAGCGCCACGCACATAAATGCCACAGCGCTTTACCTCGTTGGCTTCAGAGAGGAATTGCATCACACACAACGAGAAGTGGGCTTGTGGTTACCTGGGGAGATGGGTCAATAAATGTCAGCATGGCATCATTAGCCTCGTCACTTAATGATGCACCCGACTAGAAGCGCGCCGCTGATGTGCCACACTCACGTGGCCAGGTGGAAACAATGCTAGAACAAGACAAAGCAGTTTTCGCTGATATTTCACATAAACGTGGCAAATGTCATTGTGGCTGTTAACGCCGTCACAGGCTGTTAGGTGAAAAACATAGAGAGAGCTTGGCAAATGTGACTTCGGGAATGTTTTCTCCTCTCCACTGTGGGAGCAACAGGAGACAACATATTTCTTTATTTTGGATCCATATGCTGCCAAGCCCTCATAGTGTCATCCACACAGGAAAGATGAGTGTGCCTCTGTGTGTGTGTGTGTGTTTCAGTTAGTGGGTTGCTCTGGCGTCCAGCTGATGGGTTTATTTGACACTCCCACACAACATGGGGGATGTTTCTGTTGCTATCAGCAAGATGAAGTGCGGTAATATGAGCAGAGAGAGAGGGAAGTTAGATGTGTCCTCTTCTTAAGAGCTCACTTTCACATTGACATTATAGATTTGCAGGGGGAGAAAGAAGCTCACTATACCTAGGTGTAGAAGAAATACCTTCACAATATGCATTTCCTGCATGAAAGAGTATTCCATTATTGTGTATCCTCAAATTCTACACGAGCATGCCTACTTTGTGGCAACATATTTAATATGAAGCGTCCTATTTGGTTCGTAGTGCCATCTAGTGCTTACACCATATCAATCTAGATATTTCTCTCTGGTTACCTGAATGCAGTGTCTGGTTTCCACAGCAACAGGTCTCCCCTCTCTCATGCTGTCGGTGAACCAGCTGATATCCAACACAAGCATGTTGGGTAGATTCTTCGGGGCACACTCCTTTAGCCACTTCCAGAGGGATGAAACCTGGCTGTCCTCTGACACCACGTGAGTGACCTCGTCGCTGTGCAGGGAGAAGAAAGAAACAGTCAGAGGGACGATAGCTCAGTCTACAGTTCTATTTCATTCTGTCAAAGCTCAAGGATAGTGGTGAGCGTTAGTCTAACTAACCATTGAAGTTTCAAGCTTCTGTATAGCTCTCAATTTAAAAACACAGAAATCTAAACTTAAAAATATTCAGTGCAACATAAAAAAGTTGATATGGCGACCTTGTTTTGCTAACACTTACTTATTTACACATCCAGCAGTTATGGAGAAACATCATCATTCATTTGGAGCCGTGTTTCTGGACACCTGACGAATGTAAGTCCAACATTCACCCTCCTTTTAGCTCTGTTTTGGTCTCCCCCTAGTTCCAAGAGAATTGTGTGCCTCTTTAGCTGCTAAATGCTCCACTGTGTTCACAATAGGTCATTCTGCAGTGTGATGCTGTGAAGGGTTATCATCGCTGCTTAACAGTTGTGGGCCAGAAAACCAAAACAACAAGCTAAAAGACACTAAGGTGAAACTAAGGGGAACTGCTGAGTCAGGTGATAATTATCGTGGGTTCAACACTATGAGTGACCCCTTTCACATTCAAGTAGTCACGTGATCCATTGTTGATATTAAATATTGAGTTGCTTTAAAGCCTGGAACTTGGTTTCAATTTTCTCTATAACATAAAATATTCTTGACGAGTAAGGATCAATTAACATTAATGTTTTAAAAACAACTTTTTGAATTATTTATGAGGAGTTTATCACTCAAAACTCAGCCAGATTGCTTCAATTACAGTGCAGGTGTGGTTTGTTCAGATTTGACAGTAGTCCTGCAACACAGCCCCTCAACTGCTATTAGATTTTGATTTAAATGTTGCTAACTCCTGATTGGTGGACAGAAGCGCCTAATACAACTTCTTTCTGAGGCCCACCAACTCCAAACCACTGAGAAGAACATAAACAAAAACACAAAAACATATATTTCTCATGTGAAAGAAACAAAACTGTTGATTGAGAAAAATATGTTTGGGGACTGTAAGTAATTTATACATCTCTTAATGCAAAAAATAAGCAGACAAAAGCCTTGAAACTGTGTTTATGGCTTTTTATAGGATTCCCAGGATATTTTGAATTGTTTGATTGAAAGATTTCCTTCACTGCCTGATTTAACAACAAGAACTTTTCTGTCTGGGTCTCAGCTGCCTTTAGAGAGTGTGCAGGTTCAAGTGAAGCTTTTGAAATGCAGCTCAGATCTCAGCATCATGGTCTGTTTGGGGATTAACACTGGGTGAACAACATACAGCACAGACCCAGTGCCTCCCTCCACTATTTGATAGCTGAACTCAGTCAACCAGTGCCTCCTACAGCTCCACCGAGACCTTCTCAACAGACTTTTTATCACGCCTTCCTCCCCTCTAACTACCGTACCAAATCAGGGTGCCCAGCCGTGCATAATTACGCTTAGCGCACTCCTCCTCTTCCACTTCCTGGCTTTGGTAAAGCCAGGAAGACTCCTGGAAAGACTCCTTAAGAGATGTCCCAGCAGAGCTCAGGCTGAGGCCTAATTGGTCAAATCACTGGCGTAACTAATCCTCTATCTGCTCGACATACCAGTCCGGCCACCGATGGTACATGTTTGAAAAAAACCATTTGTGCCAGCACGAAGACAGGGACATAGACACATTTGAGGTATCTAAGGGACACAGCAATTATCTCCAAAAGCTTAAATTCACTTGCCGTGAACAGCTGTCTAACCAAAGTAATAGAGATTTCCCTTTAAAATCACAAGGGGTTGGGTTTCTATGTTGGAACAAGATTGAAGATCATAGAAAAAAAACACTCCTCGTGCTGTGTTTACTTTGTTATAATCCAGCCCCTGAATGTGGATATTTTTCTTATGCGTAGCAGCACACCATGTAAAATGGCAGATTGACATGCAAATGAGCAACAATGCAAGCCTAGCACCAGACTGTACTTCCCAGAATCAGTGGGACTCTGAGCCCAGACACAAGGGCAGGCTAAAGTCAATGGGCTTTGATATGGACAACTGCCTGCCCCCACCCAAGTCAGCAGCTACCCTCCTCTTCCTTCCAGTGAAAACCAACAGGCAGATCAAAGACGGAGGATGTCCATAACAGATTTTTACACCATTGCAAGGTTTCATCTGTTAGCCTTTTACAGATGCTCCGATGAAACATCTTTCACTGAGACATGCGTGATCAGGGTAAGTAGTAAATTAATCATAATAAATAAACATCCAAATTAATTTACATTAAATTAGTAATGAACTCACTCATGAAGAGCTGCTCCCATGCCTAATCAACCAAGATGTCACATAAAAAAATCCTGTTAGAAAATAGAAGAAGCTCTAAAAACCAATATGAAGAGATATATGTGTCCTCTGTGGCCTGTGTTTTTGGTATTGGTTTGGAGTCATTAGTCACATTACATGGAAGCCAGTGAAAAAATTTATACATTTATGTAAAATAAAATGACATATTACACAATATGAATTGCACATTAGTTATCAAAATAAGTGTGCTACATGAGACCAGCTTACCATAATAATTTAATTCATATTGTTCACTAAAATGAGCAATTCTGCCTGAATGTATTGTGTCATTACAACAGTAATTTATTGACGGCCCCTTAGTCAGCCCCCAGCGATTAAGAACAAGGGCTGAGAAGTGAACAAACCGTCCTCCTGCTGCCAAAACAGTGTGAAAGAGGTGGCCCCTAGGGAGGGAATGTCTGTCCAACATCCAACTTTAAACTAACTTCTCTGCGGTCATTTGTGAAGGAGCATTTATTGCAGCTCATCAATCAGCCAGCACAGACATGTCGATATCTGGATCCATGTTCATGTGCATCAGACTTGAAATTAGGGCAAGGGGATGTGTGTGTCATGCGTTTGTGTGTGTGAGTGTGTGTGTGTTTGTGTGTGTGCGTGTGTGTGTGTGTGTGTGTGTGTGTTCGAGCCACGTGCAAAGGAATGTACACAGTGTATCTGACCATATGCTCAAGGCAGTGTGTCTATAACTTGTGGAAGACTAGATACGGGAGGCGTTGCTATCTAACTGCAGCTGATATCAGTTTTGTCGGCTTGCTGAATTAATGTCAGTTTGAGGCAGGCACGCTCTACTTCCTGTCGTTGGTTTCAAACAATTGTATCAAGCCAAGTGTAACCGTAGGAGCGCTCAAGCTGTGTTTCTGGGAATGCTGCCATGGCCAAGCTGGCGCACGGCTGGCATCCACACTTAGATGTGCATTTAAACACTCTCACACACACACGCGCGCGTTTGTTATACTACACCCGAGAGGACCCTTGATTGACCTAAATCACATGTTAACTGCAACCATTTTTTTAACCTTAAGGGAGCTTAAATTCAGAAAAAACTGCCCTTACTGTGAAGTCAAAATGATTCTTGCCAAGACAGAAGAAGAGAGAAACACACACACACACACGCACAAACACAACATTGCATCAACAGTGTCACTAGCCTCAAAGGTATCTGACTCTGAAGCGTTGTGGGTGTCAAGCAGAGGACTGCTGTGTTCACAGTTTGGGATTTAAAAGATACTTTCAATTAGAGACAGGAAAAAAATTAAGAAGGCATGCTGCTCCCATAATTACCGCACAATAGATGATTCATCGTCGCAAGGAACAAGCTCACAAGCTCACAGCTCTCCTTAAGTGCGACTTGACAAAAAACTTTTGCCAAACTCATTAAAAAAGTTTTTTGTTTGCAATGTTACCTTTCTTAGTGCTCTCACTGCCAGCAAGATGAAGCTGGGTTAGCCAATTTCTTCCCCTTCCTAAATGTATTCATGTAGGAGCTGTGAGTTATGGCTCAGGGGGAATATCCACTAAGGTGTAGCAGAGAAGGGATTGATGCAGTGACCCTTCCTAATTATGTATTCATGAGACAATAATGGTTCTCTAATTAGCTAATTGGAATTTAACTTCAGAAAAAAGGTATATGTTTTAAAACTGAATAGCTCACTGGAGAATTGCTCTTTTTCCATACTGTCCTGACCTTTCTTTTCAGCTTAACAGCTTGGTCTGTCTTTTCTTTAATAATTCTTCACTTTTCCTTTATTGGCCTGGTTGCTAGACAGTACAACCAAGCTGCAACAGCCCTGTAATTAGTATCATGACCTTCCATTTCACCAGACGTACAACAAAGGCCTTGAAAGCCAACCACAAGGTGCTTAGGATGCAAAAAAACTGGAAAAACTAAAAAAATACTCCTCCTGCATCACTCTAAGCTCTACATTAGCGTGTTCTCTTGTGCGTCATATATGTAGAAAAAGCTTTTAGGCGCAGAGCCCTGCTCAGTCAGTGAACAACAAAATGACAAGCTTTTTCCAACCTGAGGATGTCTTCCACAATAAAGCCCTTTGACCTGGCCAGCTGGGTCAGAAAGCTTCTCCTGCTGCGGCCCATTTTCCTCTCCACCAGGTACAGTCTGACATCCTCAAACTTCACCTCATCACGCCTGGGAACGTCGGCTTCCGCTGGTTTTGACCTTTTCCTCACACGAGGCACAATAGGAGTGTGGAACATCTCTCTTGAGGTGAGCTATCCAAAGTATTTCGGCACCTCTAGGAATTTCTGCTTTCTTGAGCTTGTTGTTGTGTGCCACTCAACTTCCATCCAGGAAAAAACACCCACTTTGGTAATGCCACAGTTGTTTATTTCACATTTGCAGCTGTCATTTTTTTTATACATATATTTGCCCGACAGTGTGTCAGTTAGAGCAGGGTTGGTGAGAGTTGGCAGACAGGAAAAGCCTCTGGCAACAGGTGCTGAGGATTTGGTGTTTACCAAAAACCACCTGCCAAGATCGAATGATTGAGGATGGGGGAAAAAAAGATAAAAACACCCTGCTGGCATGGTATTATTCACTTCCAGTTAAAGTTGTTCTGCAAACACATGTTTGGAGGAAGTTTTCATGCAGTTCTTGACTGGAGCAAAGCCTCTCTCCTGGGAAATGCCTGAATTCTGGTCACCTCACAAACCCCTCACAGCTGTCCTGCCATGTCCGGTTCGTCTCGCCACTCACCGTCTCATTATGTCCAGACCAAGCCCTTACCATCTGCTCCACTACTTTAATTAGCTTACTGCCTAAAATGAGAGCCTTTGTGGGCATTTACCCTGAGATCCCACAAGCACATACACGGCCTTTGCACAAAGAGAGATGCTGTATAGGAAAGCCATTGACGATTAGAAACATGGATGCAGGGAGAAGAATTGCAGATGCAGGGGTTAGGGAACGCAAACTGAAAATAGAATGAATCTGCTTAACTCATCTATGCCTTTAGTTTTTTGTTTCCAAAGAGCTAATTGAATCATGACTCATTGCCTCGTTTTGTTTTGATTTCACTGCTACAGCGGTCAACAATGTGACAGAAAAGGTTTAAATGTCACTTTTCTGTAATTATCTGCAATAATGCATCTGCTTCAGTAGACCAAATAGGAATGATTTGTTGATTTAGGCAAAGGAGAAAATAATATCATTACAGGCCTTGATTCTACATCTAATTACCAAGGCCTCTGTTTATTTCTTCACTTTAATGAGCACAACTTGCCTCTGTCAGCTAGACAGAATTTATTACACTGCTCTCATTAGCATGGAGTTCTGAGGGTTAACAGGTGTCACAGGGCAGACGTGACTAATTGTTTGACTATTTACCCCCCCCAGTCACTCAGCTGTATACGATGGTGCTGGCCCCCTTCCAAACAGAGACCGATGAAATTCCACCATCACTAAGACAAATGGCTCTTACACTGCCAGCAGCATTCACTGCAAGAGCAATGAACCAATGTCTCATCTAACTTTCTTCATTCATAATTGTTTAGAATCATCGCACATAGTCGATCTCGTTCAGAAAGGACAATGTCACAGCTGAAGTTGGGACTTTATTTCGTCCCAAAATCTAAATTTGGCAGGTTGAATTTTAGGGAAATGTGTATAGAACAATGCTAAATACATCCAGTTGATAGTAATTAGTGCATAATACCAAGTGCATTTATTCAAGCAGTACAATTTTGATGTACTTGTTATTTAGTAGATAATGCTCACTAATATGGGAAAATCAGCATGAAGGTATTACAACTTGACAAATGTAAGTTTAATATTTGCTCTCCACCAACACCTGAGAAAGATATATGGCTCTTCAGATGCTAAATGCTCAACTTAGCTCACTAGCTAGTTGCTAAGTTTGATGCTGGGAGGGTAGCATGCCGCCAGTTATTCAGATTTTTTTAGCTGGGAACACTGCTGCTGCTGCTGCTGCTGGAAGTGGGATTGGTTAGAACAAAATCCTAAAATATTTACCTAAGAGATGCTAAAATGCAGGGGTTTGCCATTACAAACACACTACTTAAGAAAAAAAGTTGGATGACAAGGGGTTAAAAAGTGTCTTCCTCATCTATCTAATGATCTAGAGCAAGATAGATAGAAAAAATTTTAATGATGAAACACTGACACTAAAGTCAACACTGCGATGCTTGGAGCAGACAGCATCGCTTTGACAGCACTGTTTTCTTGTGTCGGTTCCCATATGTTGTCAAAACGTGCCAGGTCCAATAGGCCTTCTGCATTAAATATTTTGCAATCAATACTCAACAGAGCATCAAAAAGGGAGGAAAAAACACAGCCTGAAGGTAAGTCTTATTATCCAGTTTTCTTGCTGAAGCGTTGCTGTTTTGTATCATCAATATTTCAGGTTGAGAATGCTTCCTAACAAAGCAAAAGGCTGTACTGAAGCAATCACCCACTAACAAAACAAAGTGGTATAAAAAGAAGTAATGGTTTCCTTTTGCTTTATTGGCTGTACTTCTTCATTGATTTGCATGTGTTAAGGAAGTGTGCGGCTGTGCTTTAAAGTTGTATTCATTATCTAGGGAGTTTTCAATTTACTATTGGATAATGAGAGGTTCAAACACATGCACACTATTACTGAAAATAATTGGAAAATAGCAATTGCAATCTTTCATCTAGAAAAGGGACACGTCTGAAGTTTGAGATGTTTAACACACATTGTTTCAGACCACAAAGGGTCCTATTCATCATGATCATCCTCAGTTCTTGCCTTAACAGAATTGTTTGACATTTTGAGAAATATTTGACTTTCTTGTTAAGAGTTAGATGAGAAGATGGATACCACTCTCATGACTGGGTCTTGTTTTTTGAGTATGGGGCCAGAGCCAGGAGGTGATTAGCTTACCGATAATGCTCACTGATTTGAGGTCACAGAGCCTGGCCACTGAAGAAGAAAAAAGAGAAAAAAGAAACAACATGTTAGTCTTTTCATGACAACTTTTTGTTTTAAGATTCCTGTTTGTGTACTTTAAATGTGTTCATTAGTGAGCTTTGCAGGTGCTGGTAGGCATGCTAAGCTAACTGCCTTCACTTGAGCTCAGACATACGCACAAAGCATGAATTTTCTCATGAAGAGAAAAGAAGAAAAGAGAGAAAAGAGTTCTGTTCAGCCACATAAGAGATAAGATAAGAGAATATTGAGCTGGGAAACATAGGGCCCTAGGAACATTGATACACTCCCGATGGTACTCTCATGTCTGCATGGTAATGTTAGCTTTGTTTAGCACAAGAACTGGAAATTGGGAAACAGCCAGGGTCTGTCCAACACTAACAAAATCCACTGGCATTTTAAAAGCTTACTAATTACACACTACCTTATTTGTTCAATCCGCACAAAAAAACAAGTGTAAAAGTTACATATTGTCTTGTGGAGACCAAAACAGAGCTAAAAGGAGGGTGAATACTAGACTAACATTTGCCAGGTGGCCCCCAAGAAGCCAAAAAGTTTATGAAAGAGATGAGATGATCTCCATCACATCTCATATATACATTTTAAATCACAAGTTAGTTACTTGTCTGTCCTTCTTGTAAACCTGAGACATCCAGTCTTGCTTACTCATATTTTAAATAGGCTACTGACTGGTACAAAAATAACATTTAGATTCTCAAATTTGACAGGAGTGCTTTGTTATCTCTTGACACCGCATGGCTTAGTCTGATGAAACAGAGCAAATCTATATAATTTAAAGTCTAGTATCATATTTTTAGATCTCTCTTTCTCCTGACATGCCTGATCACAGTCATATTTATTGTATCAGAGATACTACTCAACAAAAAAACACCCCATTTCCTGTGTTAATGAATATTTCCAAAAGTTGAATGAACATACTCTCTACATAGGACTTTTCATTAAAGACTGCTTTATTATCACAGCAATCTTTCCACCAACTGGATATTTGAGCCTCAATAGTCTTGCACCTTAAAATAAAATAAAATGTACAGTAAATTACACAATCTGGCTCAGCGTGAAGGATGCGTGCCCGAGCTGGAAGGAGTTAATAAAGTCACACTCTATTATGACACTTTTGTTTCTTAAGGCTTTTATAAATAATGACTTTGAGGAAGTTCCTGCTTCCCTTTTGTAGATGCCTCAATGCAACTTAGGGGACAAGTTTAGATTTTTGTGAAAATACATTGAATTGCCACATTACTTATGGATGAAGGAAGGGGAGACGGAGAATATGTGTTGGTTTTAATGAGGTGACCTCCCTGTGTGTACTTCTCACTTTTGAAGCTGGCTGGTGGGCTGGAGCCGCGATGCATGACAGGTCAGTCTATTGCTGTACTTCCAAAAGCACACTCCCGCTCAGAGGTACCCTGTTGAGAAAAAAATGAACCTGCCGTCCAGAGAGGAATGTGAGGGATGGGACCAGGCACAAGTAGTCTTCTTTATGTGCAAGGTGAGTACAAGAAAAATAAGATACAAAATAAGGCACTATCAGAAAATCAATGGATGTAAGATGACATGTTAACCTATTTTCTCATCATTTAAAAGTTCATTTTACCCAATATGTGTTTGTGGAAAATGTGTCATCTCACATTTGACTATTTCTTTTCATTCATGCTGTACATATGCAGCTCAAGCAAGTGTTAAAATAAACAGAAGACATGTATTATGAAATGAAATTTAGTTAATCTGTGTCAGATCAGGAAACTAAATCAATATGTGTTTACTGCCCTCAGAACAAAATGCAAGAATGTGCTACCACTGTTAACAGACTGAAAATTAATGGGCAAAGACTTCTGGTGAGTTACTCCCTCATGTTTTTCCTGTTTTACCTGAATTTTACAGAAAATGGGTCTTCTGTCCCTCTTGTTGCATAATCTACTTATTTGTCCAGGATCATATCTGGGTTGTAGTTTTCTGTTGTAATTCTAATTACATCAAAAGGGACAAATCCTCCCAAGCAATTATTATTATAATTATGGCATTAAAAATAGCAGAATACTTTCACATACATTTCCTCAAGCTATTTGTTCCTGTTTTGTTAAAATAAAACAATATAACTTTGTAAAAATCCAGTTTACAATGCCAACCATTTGTAACATTTTCACTCCTATTTTAAAGTCACATGGAATAAACTTTGCACTGAACCTTAAATTGTACTGCAGCACTGAAAATTTCCAAATTTGAAAAACAGGAGAGTTTACAGGAACATGACTAGTGCAAATTTACTCTCGTTTTACTTCCCATATTCTGTGTGTAATCTGTGTTCCTCCTAATATGGAAATGGGTAAATCAGCTCCAACTTCTGCTTTGAAATTTATCTCATTGCTTTGAGGGCCATCGATGTTTCTGAGAAGCACTGTGACACATACAACGAGTGCAGGTACTGTCTGTGTGTCAGTTTGGGAGAGAGTAAGAACTGTGAAATGAGACTCGTGGCTAATAAAGCTGTGATCCCTGCTTATTTAAGTAAGTATCATTAAATCTGCTTGAGTCATGAGTGGGGGCTGTTTAAAGAGGATTTTGTGCGGTGAAATAACTGGAGCATGAATTTATAACTTCCTAATATTTAGTATTTTGAGGATACCTAATATTTTCGCACTGGCATGCCTGTAGAAGCATTTATTCATATGCATCTTTTAGTGGCCACTTCTAAACACTTCTTGCCATGCTAACAAACCAGAGCAACAGTCTACTCTTCTATTCATCATTCACTGACCCTGAACTTCCATTTAAGGCTAGATATTGCATCATGGAAACATTTCCCTTATATCTCACAGGCTTATCGCCCCTAAAATATGCTAACTGTGGATTTTTATCAGTCAAAATGATTAATGTTTCAGAGCAGAGACTTTGATGTGCAAGTTACCAGCGCGGATCTGAAAAATAAATATACATACAGTATGTGTATTGACTGATAGATCCCAAAGCTACATATCCAGCCAGCACACCCCAGCTCTATTAAGGTCAAGTAAACCCAAGCTCGTATTGAAAAAGAATATTTTCACCATGGCTGCACAGCTGGCTACACACACCTTCAATTTAACCAGCTTCAAGGCTGCAGAATCTGACAAGCATTCACAGTCATGCACTATCAGTTCAAATGTTTGCACCTAGTTCTATGGACTTTTGTTTGCTGTATATTTTTAACCTCAGTAGCAGCGTGGATCTATGGCAATGTCAGTCCACTACTTTGGACTTAAATATAACTCAACAACAACTGGATGGACTGCAGTAAATTTGCACACAGATATTCATGGTCCCCGAAGGATGAAGCCTACTTGGGGATCACCGCCCCTGACAAATTGGCACCACCAGCAGTTTGTTCTTTTTAGTTCTTAAGTGACATATCTTAACAACTACTCAATAGATTGGCATAAAATTCTGGCATACATCGTTCCCTAAGGATGAATTACTGATCCCTTAATTTTTCTTGTACTGCCACCATCAACTATAACCAAAGAATAGGGCCTACCTGCTAATTAGCTAATTAATGTTAGCATGCTAACAGGCTAAACTATGATGGTGAACATGGCAAATATTTCTAATTAATCATTAGCATGTTGGCATTGTGGGTATGTTAGCACGTTGATGTTAGCATATAGCTCAAAGGCTGTTATGAATGTTCTTCCAGTCTGTAGTGACCAGTGCCATGGTCTGTGCTGTGGTATGCTGGGGAGGTGGCATCGGGACTTGTGGCACCAACAAACTGGGCAAGCTGGTGAAGAAGGCTAGCTCAGTGGTGGGGATGGAACTTTAAAGTGTGGAGGCAGTGGCTAAAAGGAGGATGAGAGGGAACCTGAAAGACATCATGGACAACCCCCTCTCATTCTCTCTATGTTGAGCTGAGGCAGCTCAGGAGCACTTTTAGTCACAGACGAATCCAGCCTCGCGCCTTAAAGTGCTTAGGGTGCTATTTCATGCCATCAGCCATCAGGCTCCACAACACCACAGCACCCAGCATCTCCCATCTCTGCTGATCGAGATTCTTAAACTGACAAGCACAACTCTTTCAGAGACTCTTATCCAACCTACTCTTTTTTTGCAAGTGCATAAAACCTTGGAAACTTTGCACATGTACAGATATTCACAATTTAATTCTGATTTGTTTATCCAATCGATTTAAAACGTGGAAGGTGCAATTTGAACATGCAACACATTCGGAATTAATAAATATACTAGAGAACAGCGCTGTGTGGAGCTCTGCAGCAGCAACTGCAGGGAACGCTCGCGAGAGTCAGGCCTCTATGCCCCGATGTGGTAGTGAATTGTTGAAACGGAGTCATCGTCATAACGCAGTTTTGATATATGTGTTGTTTCAAATGTGTTGTGTTATAAATGCTGTAGGTCAGGGGTCGTCATAAAAGTTTGGCTGTCTGGTTAGCTTGGCTAGTAGTAGGCCTTTCAATCAGAGGGTTGTGTGTTTGGTTCCCTTGCTTGAACATGTTTTTTTCCCTCTTCAACAAATTAACTATGAAGAGAGTGTTACTCATTCTCACAATAAAGCATGTGCCGGAGTGTGTGCGTCCCGGCGAAGAATCCACATCCATCAAACTATGGACACGTGTTTTCATTTTCCCAGTATCTCCAGGCAGCTGAAAGTCCTGAGCTTCTCATTCAGGGAATTCACGTTTTCTGAGGCTTTTCTTAAAAAGGTGTCTCAAGCAAGCCACAGACTCTTTTAAATATCTTTCTATTGAAAGTACAAGCTCGCAATTCAACACGAAATAAAGTGTTTTATTTTGTAGACATAATCACTTATGAGGAAGTAATTATGTGAGTAACTGTTGCTGGTAAGATCTATTTCAGCACCATCCGCTATCAAAGTATTTATTTATTAATTTATTTATTTCTGTATTCAATTTGGCCTGCGAGCCCCCTATTGCAGACCACCGGTACCTCTAAGAAGCATTACTCTAAAGGCATTTGTCAGTTTAAGAAATGTTTTCTCTTGGATTTTCTATTGAGTATGTGAGCTTCAGTAGATGGCACTCTTTACCTCTTCAGTACTGAGTGTTGGTGCTCATTGTAACTCTCCATTTCCTCTTATTTTTTTTCTGAAGAACACCCTGCTGTTGCCTCTGGCAGTGAAATTTCACTTCCTGTTGCAAGAGGATTTTACAACAGCAACAGTACGCTTTGATGCTTTAGTGTAGGTTGAATCACTAATGTGTTACAAAGCAGAGAGACGCCATGATGTATGAGCAGAGTTTGACACTAGAAGGCTGTTTTTGCATTATATGAAGGGGGAAAAGGTTTTCTTTGGTCACCTTAAGTCAGAGATTAAGACATATAAGTAGCATGATCACAGTTTGGAAGCCAATCATGGTCTAGTATGCAACTTGTAATTTATTTATTTTTTTGTACAAAAACCATATCACACCAAATATTAAAAGGAGAATATTTATATATGTCTTAAAACATATCTGCATGGGACAATGTATTACACATGCATTTTTCACAAACATTTGTAGGGCAGCAGTATGCCTTCACTGCAAAAGCTCTGCCGGAAATGCAGCAGAAAAGGAAGAATAATTGTTTATGATAAGTTCTGTTTGACTCATCAGTAACTCAGCATGCATCTGAGGGCAGAGAGGGCCTGTACTGTGGGCTCTGAATGTCATCCAGTGAGGATGCTGCTGCTGAGAATTGCCTTTGGCATACTTTGCATATTCATATGATGTTTTTACAGTAGGTGGAGCAAAGGTCATAAAATCCTCAAGTAAACAGCCAAAAGTAAGGCAACACAGACTGCTCACATACAGGCTCTCCCCCCTTCAAATACACCTTCACGTTACACCAACGATATCTCTTCATTTAGTGTTAAGAATGAGTGGTGAAAACAAACAATCTAATTCTGTCTCACTGGTGGATGGCTGTGTACTACAGCGTGGATAGAAATGGCAGTCAGTCAGCACAGTGTAGATAAAGGTAATCTCCATCTTTCTGATGCCATGTTCACTCATACAGGTAGACAGGTTAAAAAAGATATGTAGTACATCAAAAGAACTGTCAGCCTCTATCTCTGTGATGCTGCCTGTGTGTGGCTGCTGTGTGAGAAAGACACTTCTGTGTATGACATCAATACTACAAATAAAGGTCACTGAAAGTATGCACTTATATTTGACAAAAAAAAAAATATATATATATATATATATATATATATATATCACATGTTTATTTTGTTGTTGGTATCACACATTTACAGTGGCAAGCTGACAAATGACACCTACATAACAAAGAAGATTTGTAAAATGCATAACCTGTAGGCTATAGTTAAAAAGAGAGAACAGATATAATAGATTAGAGAGACAGACAGAGATTAGGTGCCAACTGTAGCCTAACTAAATCTAATTTGACTTCTGACACCGTCCCCTTGTAATGGATAATGGAGGAAAGAGTAAAGTATTAATATTTTAAAGGAGAAAAACACCTTTAACCCCAAAGTGCTTGTTTCACTTGTGGTTTTGGAACAATTAGTGTAGAGTTGTGAACGTGTGGAAATGAGGCCTTGCACAGCTGCTGGGAAAGAACCAAAGGTAATTTTGCAGGCATGTAGCTGCGAAGGTGTTCTCTCTATCGTGAAATGAAACTCATTTCATAGAGAAGCATTAACAAATGTTCAGTGCAACAACCACTCCACTTGCCCTTTGCCATTTCAACAGAACAGACAGCCACATGTGAACAGAAGTAAAAAAGTGGTTGCCTGCTTTTGGCTGAAACTAGATTTCACACTGACAGAACTCTTGCTAAAAAAAAAAAAAAAGGCTGCAAAATGTGTGTAGGCTACTTGGGAGGCTTATGGGTTATCTTACCAACATCTGCAGAGATGTTTGGTGAGGTAACCTCTAAGCCTGGCCTTTTGGACCTCATGGTGGGATACAGTATATGTTCATTGTGAATACGCTGATGTTTAGCATATGTAGTAGTAGGTTGTTTTAGGTCCTCAAGCCACTATGTGCAGAATTTTTACATGATTATTGTATCTTTTAAAATGTCAATCACATTGTTTTAGACAAAAGAAATAATTCTGTCAATCTTTGTATAAACCTGAATGTCTTTTTCGCCATGCTAATGTAGCTCTAGAAATGGCAATGTTGGTCTGTCAGTGGGTTGGTCCACTTCTTTAATGCTGACTTAAATCTCTGAGGTTTGTAATATGTCCAATACAAAATTATTTCCCGTAGCCTTAGATGTACTTTTTGTTAACTGCTAATTAGCAAATGTTAGCTTGTTGAAACACTAAACTAAAGTAGTGAACATGACTAACTATTTTACCTGCTAAGGAACTATGTTAGCAGTGCATGTTGGCATTTAGATCAAAGCACAACTGTGCCTAAATATGTCCACACAGAGAAGCTAGCCTGACTGTAGTAGTAGTTCCTACTACAACCAGATGGTGCCAGTGTCAGAAATTCCAATAGTCTATGGTGGCTTTAGCAGAAATGCCAAAAAATATCTCTAAGGACCAATAAAGCATTTATTCAAATAATCTTAAGCTCACAGCAAGCATTTTCAAGCTAGGAAGAAATGGACCATGGTGACAGTAGATGCTGTTATGCTAACTGGACTGTATGTAAGTTACAGAAATTAAGATGAGATTGTTGCTGTTTTGAGTGAGGGCTCCTGGTCTCTAGTGCAATGGAGAGGCTGCGGTTTGTAGAGCTGTTGTGTCTCATTTGAACATGAACAGACACTCCTATAAATAATTCAATGTGGGAGCAGTGCCTGGGAGTATCCACTGGGGCGGACTATTTGATATTTTATTCGGTGTCAAAAGGCTAAGTCTGATTTTATACTGATACGTTGTTTTTTTTCTCCTGTAAGCCAGTGGGATGATCAAGTGTGTATCTGTGAGGCCAAGGTTCAGTTCTTTGAAGGAGGTAAAGCCTTTCATATTAAGTGATCTCACTCTCTGATTTACAAATGATTAAATCACAAGATCTGCTTAAAGGGCTTTCACTGTACTATGGGTTTATTCCTAGAGGTAATATATCCTTTTGTTGCACCAAGGTTCCCATATTGATACACTAAGGTAATCTGAGCTACATTGTCAAGCCCCTCCTTGCGGAATATCTCATACAATTCATAAACAACTTTGAAAAAGTACTATATAATCAACCGTAGGCATCTTAACAGTACAACATTACGCTTGTTTCACAGGAGACTCTGCAGATAAAGGGTCTTCCATACATTATTCATATCTAAATTAACTGTAGCTATATTAGACTCATACCTCATACATTAGCCTCTTATTACAAGCCTCTCTCTATTAGTTCACTTGACATCTTACAAACATAAACTACCATATCCGAACTTTCACAAACATTTGCTGTCATGGATCTTTATTACATTACGACAAATAGAAAATAGAAAAGAGACAGAAAAAGTGACGACCCGGAGCAATGAATTATAAATGAAGAGGGAAATACATAATTTAGCAGGATATGTTGCATATTTTATGCTAATCATTTCCTTTCATTTACGAATCACAATTACCTCACTACAAAGCAGACATTAAATGCAACAAAAAAATTACAATGCAGTGGGCAGCTGGATAAACTATATTTGGCAATTTATGAAATTGTGTAAAATGGTGTTGGTGTAATTTTGGTGTGAGGAGCAAGCTTTTTTTTTTTTTACCTGAAGGTAAGTACTTTTAATTCACAACATTAGGGAAACTAGCGTGTCATCAGTTCATGATGTTGGTTCATGACCAGTGTGTTTGTTAATCACTCTTGGTTGCATCACATATTTGATTTTAATCTTCTGCCCTTAAGCATTACACTATCTTTGAGCCCTTTATCAAGGCACCAAACCCCAGCAACTTCTAAATGAAGTTGTAGCAGTAGCCGACCAACAGTACTGACAATTAGAAAATGGAAGTGCTTCTAGGTTTAAATATATGCACTCATGTAATGTTTGTAATCATGTTTGACTCTGCAGCTCCTATGCTGCATGCATGTACTAACAAAGTGATTTCTCCTCTTCTTTGGTTTAGTTTAGACATAAGGATGAAAAACAAACTGTGCTGTTGAAACTGCCCTTGGTGTAATGCTGCCATCTACTGTTAGCTAAGAGGAGACACATGACTATAAATGTATCTGTATTGCAGTCCTTACAGTTTTTTACAATTGCTAACTCATTTTTCTATATAGAGTCCACTTTTTCAAGACTCCTCACAGTACGGTCAAAAATATGATATATAGAAGGAAATGCTGGAATTTTTTGTGTGCCATTTTTGCATTAAGTAATTCCAAGTGCACAAAAAATGCAATATAAATCTATACATGTTCAGTAAACAAACTTGTATAGTTTCAGAAATAAAACATGCTAGTCAACCTAGTCTGCCTTCTGCATTTGACCACAAGTTCTGATGCACATCACACCTGATCCATCCCTGGCAATCTTCTGCAGATATGTCTTGACATCCAGCCTTTAATGAGAGGGACATCTGATCATGTTTCCACATCCATGTAAGAAAAGAATTCCTTTATGAGGTTGAGGAATAGAGAATGAGGTGGAAGGAAAAGTGACATCATGCTAGGATGGGCTCGAAACTCCGTGACTGAAACATCACATTGGCCCCTACACTTACAAAAACCCCAGCCTCACTTGCCCCCTTTCCTCACCTGGCACAAGGAGTAAATGATTCTTTTTGTTGTGCTATTCTTTGAATGTAAATTGAACAGTTTTGACAATAGTATGGAAACATGCAAAATGGAGTGTTAATACACCGTTTTAGTGGTGGTTGAGTTTGAGTGAGAAAACTGGCCTGTGGAATTTGAAAAAAGTGGTCATTGAACGCATTTTGTGTAAAGCAATGAAAAGTGATCCACGGTTTACTTCATGTTGACTTCTGCTGTGCTGACTACGAAAAGCTCTTTATAGAGCAAGTGTAAAAACCCGTAATACAGTGACAGCTCTAATTCATGTATTTAGTGACGATGACATATTTGCAGTATCATCTCTGCTATAAGCACAGTCATTTCAGAACCCTGTAGTCTCTAGTTTTCCCCCACTCTGTCACCATGTGTTTACACCTGATTTCTCTGGTGCTTTCACAGAACCTGTCTGACAGTGACATGAGCAAGTTTAGTCTCATCCACCAACCGTGAGTACAATTTCATGCCGCTGTCACCACACACCTCAATCATACCTTTGTTTCATCTCAACTCACCTCCCTCCTCCCATTCTTTGCTTCTCTTATCTAAATTTTAATTGTTGTCATGAGTGTAAAACATTTCAGGAAAACTGAGGTTATTCACATGATATGTAATATACTTCATATGCATCGGGAGATACTACTACTACTACTAATAATAATAATAATAATAATAATAATAATAATAATAATAATCAGAAATGAATTCCAAGTGGAGGTAATGTGCTTTATGCCTGAGTATAATGTAAAAGAGCCTAGCTATATAGCCCATACAAAAGCCTACACACATGTTAAAAATTACAGTGTTAGTGTGTGTGTGTGTGTGTGTGTGTGTGTGTGTGTGTGTGTGTGTGTGTGTGCTTGCACAGATGTTTATAGAGAGGTTTTGTATGCCTGCCTGCCTGCACCTGCACATTTCTCTGCATGTGTTTGCTCATGTGTTTGTGAGGTATGTTCCTGTTGATGTATCCCCATGTGTAAGCGTGGGTTTGAGTACGTGTGTGTCCCACATAATATGTCTGACAATATTAAAGTCAAATCAATCAGTCACACAGAAAATTTGCAAAATGTGTGTATCAATTACATGTTAAAATAATAATAAATATTGTTTTTAATATATTTTTTAATGTAATATTTGTAATGGATACATAATTGATACATTACACAATGGATAAATGAAATGGGGAAAAAATGCAGCACTGTGTTTGAAAATACATGCTTACTGCTAAAATAAAAATAAAACGGACATTTTATTGGAATAAATATTTAATTTCTATTTATGGTTAGATTTGAGCTTAAATAATTACAAAATCCAAAGGCTACAATTTAATTAAAAATGTTTAATTTCAATTTAAAGTGAAAATTGGATGTCAATTTTGTATACCCTGCCCAGATATGGCATGTTAAATTAAATTTAAATTGAGTAATTTTAAGGTGCTAATGTCTTGTCAAATCAGGAAGTTACACATTACTACTGAAGCATGGAGAGTCCTCTTGTACTGTTAAACTCAACAAAAAACAGAGAGGATTTGGAGTAATTGCTTACTTGAAATGTTAATCACATATTTTTTTCTGCTCATTCATTCACCCAGTTTGTGACATAGCAAGGATATTCAGTATTGAGAATGAACTGCAAATGAACTGCGAGGTGACAGGAATTTAAATTTCCCACAAGCATATAAGTGTCCCCAATGGTTTCACATTCATTTCCAACTGAGCAGCTCCAGACAAAATGGTGACTTAAGGCTTTTTTCTCATTATAAATCACAGACTTTTGGTTCCTGAAAAAAACTGTATCTTCAATTCTTTCCATTCTTGAATGGTTACTCATCACAGACAGGTTCATGGTCTCTCCATCCAGCCATTGTAGAGCAGATATTTATTTTGCAAAACAATTCCCAAGTTGACCACAGACACACACACTCAGACACACACACACTGTCATCCTGCCAGTCCAACAGGAAAGGCTTCACACTCATTTTTATTTCATTCACCCATTGATGGAAAACACTTTTTACATGGTACTTTCCATGAGACACCATACATGACCTTACATGAACCCAACTTACACAACAAGATGTGTTACAATACTGTAATCTATGAGTGAAAATGATGTCCAACGGTGACATTGGTATTGATAAAATCTCTCATGAGGAAGCTTTTTAAAAAAGTGGCTCAGTTCTTTGCAGATGATGTAATTCTATGGAATTAAAGTCAATATGTGTGTGAATAGTGGAAGTGAAGTGCTTGGGAAAAAAATGTTCCTAAATATTACCTCGCTAACTTGAAGGCCTCCTTCAGTGAACACATTCAGGCGATGTATATATAGTTATGAGTAGCAGTAAAAATGGCAATGTCTGGACGGAAGTGGGATTGGACAAAGTCAAGAGAGAAGTGATGTAAGAGGTTTGTTAAAAGTGCTGAAATCTGTTTTTCAGTGTGTGTGTGTGTGTGTGTGTGTGTGTGTGTGTGTGTGTGTGTGTGTGTGTGTGTGAAAGAGAGTGACGGGGAGTGGAAAAGAGAAGTGGTTTTTCTTACAGAACAATTAATTCCCTCCCCTCTAAGGCATGACTTGTAGCCAAACACAGTGTTCGATTTCATTCCTGTAAACAATCTGGCAGCACACACATAATGCATGAGAGGAATGAGGCGCAAAAATGCAAACTGTTGGATTAAACATGAATATGGATACGTTAGGTAGACTAGCTGCTCCTGCTACAGCAAAGATTCGGTAAGAAGCTCCGTTTAATTTGATGTTTTGCTTCCAGGTGGAGGGTGACATAATATCACTTTTTGGTAATACTTTCTATAAAACTATGTCTATATTTGGCACTTTGGATAAAAAACACAAACTAAACTTCTTTCATTTTTTGCTGTAGTGCCACATTGTGTTGCAACTGTTAACTTTCCACATGCAGCAAAAGGGTTGAACTTTAGTCTAAAAAAATTCCATGTAAGCATTTATTATTAGTATAAAAACAGAGATAGTAGAGATTTCAAGAAAAAATGAGTCATAATTCATTTATGTGAATAGTGCAATTATCTTTCCAAAATACCTTTTGTAGGCTGGAAAATAACAGTAACGACTTGTCTAACACTTTGGTTCATCTCATAATAGATTTGTTCATGAATGTCAATGCCGAAATTTGTGCTTTCCAGGCAGCTTCAGAAGATTGTTCAAGACATCAAGAAAAATGACGGCAGCTTACTGAATAAACTGAGAAGGTCAGTCTCTAGAATTTGAAGATCTTTACTGCTCTACACGCTAATGGAATAGATGAAAAAACACAATGGAAATCTAACAGTCTAAAAGTATGCGTATTTCTAAGTGGGTGACAAATCTGAGAGGTCTAAAAATTGCTCTGTGTGGTGTATATATGCATCAGCGTAGAATGTCAATTCCTCTTTCACAACCGTTGGAATAAGAGAAAGAGAGCGACAAACCAAAATTAACTTAAGCAGATGGCTGCTCTCTCACTTTCCTTTCCTGAAATGAGCCCCTTCAAGGCACATAAGAATAGATACTGTAATGAAACACACATTACAGAACCTAGTCATGTCTGGTAACTATGCCCATCAGGGGCTTATGTAAATATGGACCATTAACAGATTTACAGCACAGGTGTCCCGCACCAAGACAAAGTATCATCACCCAATCAATTCCACTATAATCATTTTAAACTCAATTCATATCTTGTGTCACATTAATAGCAAGGGGTTGTGCTCACACGCTCCAATCACTGTCAAATCACAAGTCATTCATTGCCTGCTGCTGATGTCAATATTTCTTTGTGTGGCAGACTGAAAAGCAAACCTCTTCCAAAAGTACCTGCGAGAGACTACAGAGGTAAGAACTGACTCATTGTCACTGGCTTCACAAGAAATAGCGTGAATGAAACAGCAAGTATACATCTCTGTCTCAGAGTCAGTGACAGGTGGTACAAAATAAATTTAATACTGATAAAGAACACAGTTGAGTGATGTCATGTGTTTGATGCAGGTTGATATCCAGAACATCCTTATTCAAATCTGTCTTATAACAATGCCAATGTGTAGTACAATGAAATAATTCCAGCTGACCACACTGGCCATTAAGACATGCCCAACTAATGCACTTCCAATGTGAATGATTCAAATTGTGTGAGTCTGAGTTTGCCAAAGTTGCTGTAGTAAAATAATTCACTCTTTGCGTTACTATCCCACCGCCAAAACTCAGCAATCAAACATCATAGGAAACAAAGAGAACATTTTGTTCTAAACGGAGGATAACTTTGGAAGATGCCAACTTGATTTCTATGAATCAAACTGATGAAGCTTCACATTAACTTCAGCTGATTCTGGAAGGTATTTTTACACAGACCCCCATGACTTACATTGGAATCATGTTACTGTAAGAAGTAAATCTTTTAACATCCACTATGGACAGGAGGAATTATCACAGTGAGTGGCCTATAACAAAAGAGTGCTGACAGGTTTGGAAACTTATAACCCAGCCTTTCATAGTTGCAAAACAGTAACAATACTACATTATTACAATATTACATTTTACAACCATGGGTGATCAACCGAAGATTAATGTAATTGAGTAAAAAGTACCACATTTCCTTTAGAAATGTAGTAGACTAGAAATATAAAGTATAGTATACAATGTAAATACTCAAGTAATGTACGATAGTCATTCCAGTAAATGTTTTTAATTACTTTCGACCCTTGCAGAAAAACAATGTCTGTTGTAATAATTCATGTAATAATTACAGAAAAAGTTTACATTTTTTAAGATTTTAAGATATTTTATACTGAGAAAATTCTGCCTGAGCTAATCACACTGTGCAAGTTTCCTATAAGCACATGTTGTTCCCCACAGCCCAAATCTGTTGATTATTGGTTGTATACAACATTATATATCATTTGTGATTTTTTTTATCTGCCTTCTCCACTCCATCAGAACAAACTATGAAATATTTTCTTCAGTAGTAATGTACACAATTTTCCACTTTACTTGGTCGTCAGTTGTTGCTTGAGCTCACAATGGTCAGTCCAAAAGCTTATACAATGTGACAATGACAACCATGAACCTGAAATAACATTATATCAAAATTCTAGTTAGTTTATGATTAACAGAACAGGGAAATATAATACAATCTACTTTCCAATGGAAAAGAAGAAGAAAACCAATTTAATTTCACAAAACACTTTTTTTTGGTTAAACACACAACAGGACTTATGATCAAGTGTCATCTCCGACAAGGTGTGAATGTGTGCGTGCGTATTTGTGAGTGTGTGTTACTCATGTTGTGGGGACATGAATCTGTTTGTACCGTCCTATTGTAGGGACTCGGCTTCCTTTTTAAGACAAAATGCAGACTTGGTTTAAGGTTAGAGAAAGATCAGGTTTTGGTTAAAAGGTCACCATTGTCCTTTGATGAAAAGGCCTACTGATCCAGAGATTAGTTTGGTGGTTATTGCGGCCATATAGTCTGGGTTAGGTACATGTTCAAGACCTGAGCTTCCAGCTCAGCTCTTTCATGCCGTTAAAGTACCAGGGTAGATAGAAGAACAAACAATTTACTGCATAAAAAGCCATGGGGTGGTACCGCCCCCGTTGAGAAACCCTACAGTAACCCTGTAAATGTAACAAGGGGAGAACTACCACTGCATACATCTAACTTACTCTGTTAGCAGAGAACAATATGAGATCAGTTTGTTTAGATTGTACTTGCCTCAAAACATAGAAGAACAAACAATTTACTGCACAGTTTGCTGTCAGAAGAGTCTATTAACCATATTCTGTATATGCATTGTGAGTCATACCTCGTGTTTTATGTTGCCATATTTGTATTTATTTCCTGGGATGAAAGGAGGCCTTGCAAAGAGCTGAAAAAAAAGTTATGCATGCACCTTGACGAGATGTAATGACGGACGAACACAAAAAAATAACTACAGTATAAGTTCTTTATGTCATCACAAATTGTTACCCCATTATTCAATAACTTCATGTCTTGTCGCCCAGTACCTACATATATGTACTGGTACATTCTGTACTGGTACACAATACAAAAGAAGGAGTAATTACACTGTACATTGCGGGCTGCACCAAGAGATTGTGCAATAGTTCAAGAGTTGAGGAGACACACTCCATTGGTTCTACCACAGAGAAACTGACTTACAGACCAGGCATGGTTCCAAAATTAGAAAATTTTTCTCTGACACCTGTTCGGAAGAACTTAATGCAGCTACCTTTTTTGAAAATATCCACAGTTTCGAATCCACAGTTCAAACGTTAGCTTTTACAGGTTTTGAACCAATTTAGTCAATATTTTTCCTGTTTGTAAAGAAATCCCTTTATATTTCTGTGTTTACAGTTGATGACAGGGAAAGTGATGACCAGCTGTCTGACCCTGATTATGTAAGTAGGGGAAACATGTAAATTGTAAGTAAATAAATTTCATCTGAGATATTTGTTGTATCATTACAACATTGCAACTATGTTGTTCCCAGGATAATGACATGTATGAGGATCTCCGTGAAGATCAGGACAACAGCTACGAGCCTCCTCCCAGCCAAAGAGTCTTCACCACAGCCCCGACTGCTTCCTTCCCGAGGGGGGAGTATCTTGGTCAGTACAGTCATTTGACATGAAAACTGTTTAAAGCTGCACTTCATTTTTCACCATAAATAGCTAAAACTCCAGCTGTGTGCTGATTTTCATGGCAACACTATAGTTCTCCTGATGATGGAATTGCAAAATTCACACAAGCTTTATTTACTTTTCACACAGTTTCTATTTCTTCAATTGTTTCTCCTTTTCACTCTCTTGCTGCTGAAGTTGCATTTGTTCACTTCAGCACCTTCAGTAGACAAGTGGAGAAAAAGCCACAATACACAGAGGGCTTCAGAATGATTCTCCATGCAAATGCTGATGCCCTCTTTCTGCTTTTGCTTCTCCTTTCCAGACCACTGCCATAACCGACCCAACCAGCCACCCAGGAAGCCCCTCCGCCCAAACAAAGCCTCCAAACAACTGCCCCCTGAACCCACCCATGTGGAGAGTGATGAAGTAAAGAAACTTTGATTGCCCACCTCAAGTTCACATGAGTAACGTACTGCAGTATGCAGTTGTGTTGAGACTTGGAGAATTTCGCCATATCCTGTGTATTGGCAAATACCTTCCAATGACTGTGGACAGTTGACATGGCTCCCTTTTTTTTTCTTTTTTTTTTACAATATGTTGTGTTTGTTGTTTTGTAGGAAGAGTACATCAGTCCAGACGGCAGTAATGATGATGACAACTACGTTGAACCTGCAGAGGAGCCAGCTTCCAGTGAGATACATATCAGAATAGAGAGGATAAAGACAGTGATATGGATCCAACTGCTGCAAGGACTACTACTATTCAAATATAATATTAATTTATTAATTTATTAATCTCCATGCCTTTCCTCAGATCCCATGATAAAAGGTGGGAACAGAGCAGGGAGAGACCGACCCATGTTGCCTACACCTTCACCAGGGCGCCCGCCCAGTCCTGGTAGGTACAACAATAACCGTGCTGTACCTCAACAGAAAGTTCACAAGGGTCCAACCTTTAGAATTGTTCATTTTAATACAATGTAACAAAGGAAGAACCTGTGCATGATATAATGGGGTGAACCCATGCTCTTACATACTCCTTGTATGATTATATTGAATTGCAAATTCTTCGCTGTCCATCGTACTTTTGATTAATTTGATTAGATGAAAGAAATGCATAGTCACTAGCTTTAAAAACAAGGTTGATTTACATAAAAGGTGACAGCAGTGGATGGTGTTTATATATTTCAGAGTGTGTCACAAATAAAAACAGCCTGCAGTCATGCTTGCGCCTCTGTGCAGCTGTACTAACTAAATGGTAATGTCAGCATGCTCACAATGACAATGCTAATATTTGCACTTAACGTGTACAGCTGAGGCTGATGGGAAAGTGATTAGTTTTGCTGGTATTTGATCATAAACCAGAAAACTATTACTAACTTTATGGCAATCCATCCAATATTACTACTATTATTACTATACAATAAACTGTTATTGTTACTACTATTACTGAAATTTCATCCTGGACCAAAGTGGTGGACCAACCCACTGCTAGCTGAACACGGAAAAAGGAGGCCTCCATTATGTCTATAGTATTGAATGAACAGCTTATAAGCCAATTAATGCAGCCTTTATAAATACACTACAATGAGAGAAAGTCAAAAGCAGTTAGTTACAGCTTACAGCGTATGCCACATGGCTGCATGGTTGCAACAGCTGTGGGTTCAATTCCAGCCAGTGACCTTTGTTGCATGTCCTACCCCATCGCTTTCCCAATTTCCTATCTACCTCTTTACCTGTCACTTTCAAATAAAGGCAGAAATTGCCAAAATAATTTTTTTTTTAAAAAGGCAGTTAAGTCCAAACAAAACAGTTCCCAAGGTCAGGCCATCCTGCACCAGAAGAGGGCTTTTGTAATTTTATGAAGTGCCTAATTTTGGCTTTGGTTATTTTTCAGACTTTTATGAAGTTCCCGACAAAGAGGTAGGCCATTTATGTAACAACAAATACAAGTATTTGTTAAAAATATGTTTGTATGTGGGATTCATTGTGGTTGGTTTTATGGCATCTTTACAGGAAACCTCATTATCTCTTCCAGCAAACAGGTCAGTTTGAGACTGTCTTGACTTTGGTTTAAAGAGGTGGTATTATGCTTTTTGGCTTTTAACCTCTCCTTTATTGAGTTATATACCTATTTGTTCATGTAATAGGTTTGCAAAGTGAAAAAGCCCAAAGTCCAAGGCCAAGCAGGTCTGCAACATGTAGCTTCCAGCTTACGGGCTTCTTGCTGACCTAGGAACCGCGCATGTGCGACACCCAACAAAGATCATTTAGAGATAAGATGTATCACTCCATAGCTAAAACGAAGCCTTCAACGCACAGGTTGAAAAGAGGAGCTGCAGCAATGTGCAGTATGAAAAAAATATATATAATTTTTTTAATTAAACCATGTAAACCTGTTCTGGTACAACCCCTAAATATGATTTTGAACCTTAAAATGAGCATAACACCACCTCTTTAATAATGAAACTGTATCGATACACAATATATAACAGTATTTTAGAAATAATTCTGACTACAGTCTAAGACTAATCATGTCCTTGCATCTACCTTGCAGACTGTGCCCGATCCCTACAAAACAGTCACACTCTTTACCACCTAAACCCAGCCCCAGGTAAGACTGACTAACACTGAAAGACATGTCATTATTGGCAACTTAATTAAGTTCCTCAATGTGTTATGAAGTTATTTCATTGCTTTCCTATTACTGCATTAATAATGAATTGTTTTTATTTGTCAGACTGAATGTGAGAAGATCTCCAACAAATGTAAGTGATGACAAATGTGCAAAAAATCATTCAAAAGAGGTGTGTTGCAGAGATGTGATGTATGCTCCACAGTTAGTAAGACACAGGGATTGCTGTTGTGATTTGGCAGGTCCAAGAGCTCACAGGTGACGATGAATATGAAGTCTGTGATCCAAATGATAGTGAGTATAGTCTTTCCTCCTCAAGACTGCTACTATGAATCCATGCATCCATCCATCCATCCATCCATCCATCTATCCATCGTCAACCGCTTATCCTGCGTATAGGGTCGCGGGGGCTACTATGAATCATTCCAGCATATTTCGCCATCTAGAGGATGAGAAGAATATAAAAAATAGATTTCTTTCTGGTGAATTAACAATAGTAAAATTTGACTCATTATAATTGGTCCATCATTTATCATTACATGGTGTGCTCCTCCAGGTTCCAGTGGTAAACCTGCAGAGGGTCCTCCTCTACTCCTACCCAAACCTTTGCCCAGAGAGTAAGCATCATTAATTATTATATATATTATGACATGTTTAAGCTTTAAGAAGGGAATAACTGATTGTACTGATCATCTCTTTTTGTTTCTTTAGGAGGTCACCAAAACCACCATTAAAGCCGGTAGGAATATCAAAGAATCAAAAAATCAAGTGCTCTGACTACTTGTTGCAAATAACACATTCAATCACCATGGCTTTCCTGTGTTTGACTTTGCTTTTTATATGATCAGCTGCTGTACTTGTGTTTTTTAAAATCATTAAATATGACTTTTGTTTTTGCAGAGGCCTGATTTAAAACCTAAGGCATTTGAATGTAAGTGTTTACCATTAATTCAAAAACTATACGCATGTAATAATAATGTGGCCCAGTTGCAAATGTTTAGTGACTTTTAGTGCTCAATGATCTAATTGCATGCATACAAATGCTACACGTGCATAAGAGTCTTAATTAATTTACTTACAGACTTTTCACATTAAATCTATTCCAGTTCAATGGCTATGTAGATACAGGACACAATTAAAGATACATCTTTAACTATAAGGCTTTAAACAAGTGAAAAACCTAATAACAGCAGTCTGGATGTTCACAGCCCGAACGCTGCCTGTGATGCAAACTGACCTGAAGCCTCCAGCAAAGGCTTTCACACTGGACTTGAAACGGCCAAAGTAAGAAATGCAACAGACAGTTTTACACTATGCATTGTATTTTCACTGAGCATACATGTTTATAATGTTTCTCAACTGAGGAAAATTGCTAGTAATCTCAGCTTTGTGCTGTGTATTTACCGTGGTCTGCTCCGCTTGTGGTCTCTCTTGCAGAATTCCTCTTCCTCAGTCAACCTCCCCCAGTAAGTCCAGCGGCTCGCTTGTGTCTCACAGCAGGCTAACAACCACACGCACAGGATTTCTTTCTTTACTTGACATTAAGTGAAAGAAAATTTAAACAATTACATTTTTAAAACAGTTATATTTCTACATGCACGCCTTTTTTATAATGGCATGTCTCTGTTGTCCCAGAACCAGCTAATGGAGGAAGTGTCTCTGCTGAAAATGGATCAATAAACCAAGATAAGGTGGGCTCTTGAAGATGAATAAATAACATAACAAGCTACTGCTATAGTCACACAATATACGGGGTGATAAAATTCTTCTATTCTCCATTACATTATTTCAGGATGCAGACGTGTATAAGAAATCCTGGTATGCAAGCACATGCGACCGCAAGACTGCTGACGATGTCTTGGTCCGCTCGAATAAGGTGAGAGTCTCATCATTTAGGAGAGCACAGTCACCCAAACTTGTAGCATGCGGATTATATCCCATAACGCCCTTGAAATGTGAGTGCTTTCTGTTTCAGGATGGGGCGTTTATGGTGAGGAAGAGCTCCGGTCAGGACTCACTGCAGCCCTATACATTAGTGGTGTTTTACAAGGGCAGAGTGTACAACATCCCAATCCGCTACATACCAACAACTCAGCAGTACGCTCTGGGAAGAGAGAAGAAAGGGGAGGAGGTACAGTGCAGGGCTTTTAATTTTTTCTCATTTTGACTGGGTTTTCACTGTTATCGTGGCATATGGTTGATGACAAAATGGAGTAAGGGGTTAATCAATGTTTTGCCCAATGTGCTTTATATGAAATGTAGTAATGTTTATGTCTCTCTGCTTATCTGGGGTGATGTTGGCTGTGGCTATAACAGTCCAATAACGAAACCATGATTGTTAGACTAAAGCTATATAAAGGTAATGTTTAAAAGGTTCAGAATTGAATTATGTGCAGTGTGAAAAGCCTCTGAAACAGACACCAAAACTCACTTTACAGCAACATAGATTTTTACTGCAAGTTTGATCATCTGAGATCCTATCCTCAGCTGCCAAAAGTCCTTTTTCCACAGTCTGAAGGAAAGGCACAGGTGCTACTAATAACAGTAACGATGACACCGCTCTTCTCTCAGTAAAGTCAGTAAAGCAGTGTGACTGTGGCTGGACACTTATGAATCATCATCAGTTTGAATCATCATCACTGACAGCTGTGGAGTTGCACAACGGTCGTTTTCACATCACTAAGTTTGTGACACATTGGATCGTTAGCGGAAAGTGTTATTTTTGTTGCCTCCTGGGAATTTTTAAGGGCACTTAAAATCTCATTTAGACATGTGCTGTTCTTCTGTGACATGTCAAAACGGCATATGAGCAGAACGTATTTAACAGAGCAAAACCTTTGAACACCATGAAAACTTCTCTCATAATTATTAGAGATAATTATCTTTTACTAACTAAACTAACTAAATATACTCTGAACTGTTCTCCAGTTTAATTGTAATCGTAATCACTTTTCAGAATACAGGATTACATCTTCTAAATCACTTTCAAGTCCACTTTCTCCTTTCAAACTATTTGGGGATTTCAAGGATACCTTTTATTCTAACTTCATCATCATCCTTTTTTTCCCCCAGTATTTCAGCAGCGTCTCCCACATCGTCGAGAACCACCAGAGGACTCCTCTGGTGCTAATTGACAGCCAGAGTAACACCAAGGATGCCACCAAACTGTGCTACCCCATGAGGCCCTAGATGACCCTCGTTGATGGCACAAATGATTGGACTTGTGCATCCTAACCCGCTGCGTTTACTGTCAGACTTTAAATTACAGAACTCAGTATGTGATGCTTTTTTTCCCTGCTTGATTGTTAATGTGAAGCCCAGTCAACAGGACTGTATGCTGGAGCTGCCTGCATTGCTGGCCATGCAGAGCTAAAGCAGCACTGACTCAGAAGATTTTTTATTAAAAAATGTATTAAAATGAATGTAATGGATGAGATGTGGTGCTGTAGCTGAAAGAAGCAGGTAGCAAAATGTTTTGTTTTTATTTTTTTTATAGCAATACTTTGGGGAACCAAAAAAACTAGGTTGTATATTGTTTTAATAAAACTCATGTGTCGTATATTTCAGCTCACATATTCATCACAAAATGCCACCAGCAACTGACAAACTGGTTCATTTATTTTCTGGTCGACAAGTAATGCTCTCATAATCATGCACAATTGTTGCATAACAAAAAAAAATAATAAAATCCTCGGCACTTGGTGAAAATTCTCAGGTAATATTTTACAGTACCTCTATCTGGACTATATACAATTAGACATCTTTTATCTAAATTGAAAAAAAGTGTATGTACAGTGAGTTACTGACACTTAAGTGTGTGCTCCAGAAATAGAGATAGATGCACAATATCAGTATACAGGACAAGTACATCTGTCCAATGGTCCCTCTCACTCACTCACACACTCACACACTTCCCTTGCTGAAAATACTGAGGGATCATGGCTGCATAAGGAAATGTTTAGCCACAGTAGGACACTAGTTGAGATTGTCAAAGGCTTAGGCCTGATAAGGTGAGGTAATCGGGAAATATAAATCCTCCTTCCATAGTGCAATTAAAATATACGATTATTTTCAAGTCAAGAAAGAGGGGGAAAATTATCAAATCATCTAAGCCTCTTGAATCCAGATTTAAAAAGGCATAATATCGCTAGTATTTCATTGACATCACAAAACAAAGGTTTAGCTTTTTAAATTAATCGTGTCTTTAGGGATATCTGCTTCCACTGAATGTACACATGAAAATATACCTCTTACAGATAATGCTATATTTCAACATAATTTGGAGTTTATACAAAAAATGTTACAAATACACTGATTCTCCAAATGGCCCAAAAAGAGCATAAAGAAAAGCATATAAAGGCTAAACCTAAGAGTCATAAATAAATGTTGAATAAAACAGCTTATTGTCTTCTTTTTTTCTTTTTTTTTTTATCTTTAAAACACAGTTTTGGTATATCTGAGTAACTTGTGGGTCTCTGTGCCCCATTCCAAAAACATAAATACGATAGCTACCACGCTGTTTAGCCTACCCGTACATAAACTGATTCATGAAACTCAGGTGGTATGGCAAATATATACATTTTACAGTGTTCTATAAAAGTTTCCAGACGACAGTGTACTTAAATCACGTTAAATAAAGCTATTGTGTAGACAAAATACCAAGAACTAAATTATCAATACCATGTCCTTGCGGCTTTACAAATAATCACTGATCTACAAAGAGCACTAATCGAGCTAAACTGGGAGAGAGACAACAGGTAAATGTTTCAATTACCCTGAGAATGTGAACCCTCCAGGAAGCCTGATAACGTTTGCATTCTCCTCAAAACCTACCAATCATAATTAAGACTTTAAAAAACTGAGGAGGCTGGCAATAACTGGTTCCATCATTGTTTTGTTGTATTGCAAAGTTATCTTTTTCCAGTGTGTGAGACATTTAAGAGTTTTCACAGTTTGGCCTTTTCCACTCCATCAGATGTCGCTGCTGATGCACCATCCACGTTTCCTGACTTACAAAGACCCTGCCACAATACCAGCAACGAAACCTCGTTGCAGCATCCCTGCTGGGAGAGACCGCACCGACTACTTCGTACTTTTTCCTGCTCAACCTACGGAGTTTCAATTTCAACATAAATCTCTCTTGTACAGAGTTTTTACCATGCCCCGCGGAATTGTGTCGGACATCTGTTGGGTCGTTTGTCTTAGGGACCTCTCCATTCGTGGCTGAGAGCGCGTTCACAGTTCTTCGTGACAGCACGACCCTCTGCACCTCTCCTCTGTACCTATTGACGACCTCCATGATCCTGGCCACCTCGGGGATGTCAGCGTCTGGATGATTGAGCACCACAACAGGCTGGTTTCCCGCAGGACGCTTGACCAACTGAGATGGATTTATGGCTACTAACTTCAGGGTCCGCTCCAGGTTTTTCGGGACCAGCTGCCACTGATGCCCAGAGGCTGGTGAGGCCTCCGGTTGGACAGCTTTCCCTGCGGGCAAGTTGGCGTTGCTGAGGAGCTCTGGGGAGGAATCTGCCGCCACTTCTCTGTCTCTCATCCCCTCAACGCCGTGCTCACTCTGCTCCAAAGAGACAGGGAGGGCGACATCTTCAGAGTTTATCTTACCTGAAAGATTAAAGGTGGGGGGGGGGGGGGGGGAGATCACTTTTAAAAACAGGACAGGCTCTCTATTGCAAAATTATTAATTTAAACACGGTCAAGAAAACTGCATGTTAAATCCTTAACCACTGTATCTATGTAGAAATTATAATTTGCCGTCTTACCCAGTGGTGTAGTAACAGTTTGGGAAACAGGGGAATACTTGGTGTAACTGCTACGAGGAGGAGTCACTCTATCAACGGCTGAACTCATCTCATCGCCTGATGTTTGGCGGGGTCTTTTCTTGGGGCACACCTCTACTTCAGTCACGGCTGCAGCCCTCACATTTGACTGACTTGTCCTACCAGCACAACTGCTCTTGTCAACTTCTGTTTCCAGAAACTGCAGCGACCTCTCTGCGTCATCACGCATTTCGTGACGTGCAGACGGCGAGTCTTCGAGCACGAGAGACGGGTTTCCGTTCATATTTTTAGACCCCAATGGCTTCGCATCACAACTGGGGGTCAGTTCTTCTCCTGCCTTTGATCGTGGAATTGAAGTGATGGCTTCAGAGGGGTCATGCAGGTCAGTTATGGAAGCTTTGGTCCATTTCTTCTGGGGTACTTCAGTAAGCAGCGTGTTTTGAAGAATCTGCCCCCTCTCCTCCAATGATGTGAGAGAGCCAGGCAGTACACGACAGTCATTCGTCGGACCACCTCCTGATGGAGACAAAGAGCTTTGCGACACCCACTGCTTCTCCTTCACTGGATTCTTCTTCAACACTATCTTTAAGGCTAAACCCGATGATCTTTTATCAGCTTTTTTACATCGGGTCTTTCTTTTTCGTCTTCGATGTCGTCGCTTATTTCTTTGTACATATTTATGAACGGAAGTCTGCTCTTCTCTCTCATTTGCCAACTTCAGCTCGCCGGAGATATTAATCCCATCCTCATGCATTGGCTCCTCGTGTTTTTTACCATGTTCCTCCATTTCTTGATCCATCTTTAGTTCCCAGTTCTCTCTGTTTTCTTGCATTTGAACACACTCGGATGGCTCATTCTGGGCTGGCATTGAGATGTCATTATTTAGGTTTGTTTCTGCCTGTGGACAAGGTGTGTGAGCATTCAAATTTGACAGACATTCATTTTGGTCACCTACACAACAAGCATCATCAGCAGGACTTTCAGGGGAAACAGTTTCCTTATCTGATGATGTCATCATTTGCAACCTTTTGGCGTAAGTAGCACCGTTCTGATCGACAGTTATCTTGTTCTTGACTGTCAGGACAGTAAGATCCGACGAGTCCGGCATGCCATTCTCTGTCTTCGGGTGAAGATTCATATCTTGAGGGACATTTGACAAAACAGTTTTAAGAGCCTTGGTCCATTTCTGGTCACCGGTTTCCCCGGTGACAGATTTCATCAAAAACTGTTGAGTCTCCTCTAGTGTGGTTTGTGGATCAGACAGATGGCAGTATTTATCCAGGAATTCTCTCCCTGGCAGAGAAAGGCAGTCCTGTGTCAGCCAGCACATTTCCCTAACTGCACTTCTTGTTAATCTAGGCTTAATATTTGGGATTGGGTCATTGGGTTTTATTGCTATGGAATGAACCTCCTTCTTCTTCTTCTTCCTCTGATTACCATTCGGGCAAATATGAACAGCTTTAATGTGCTTAGAAATCAACAATTTCTGAGAAGCCTCATAGCCACAGTGCTGACACCGTAAAGATTGAGTGGTTGTTTTAGGCCCAAACTTGTTCTTGTCATTAGTGTGCAGCGACAGATCATCTTTAGCTCCTTCCAGGCCCAAATGGTGTGCATACATGTGCCCTAAAAATACTCTAACATCCCCTGTGGAGAATTTCTGACAAATTTCACATGAATATTTGCCATTTTGGCAGTGATACTTAGTCAGGTGTGCACTGAACTCAGGCCATGTGCGTGAAACATTGTCATTACAAATGCTGCAACTAGAAAAAGTGTCCTTGTGGCTTAATAGATGAACCTGAAGGTAGGAGAACTCATGTGTGCTAAAAGTGCACATGTGACAGGGGAAAACTGCTGGGCTCCCTCTGTGTTTTGCCTCAAAGTGTCTCACTAAGTCTTTGGGAAGATATTCCAAGTTGTCCCTACATTGAGAGCATGTGAACCTGAGTGGATTTCCGCTGTCATTTGTCCTGTGTGGACTCTGTTGTGCTTCCTGTGGGGGCTTCTTTGATGAAGGCCACACTTTGCTTTGCTCCCACTTCTCTGCTATCTTCTTTGGTCCACGCTTATCTTCACTTTGCATAGTTGGTGTCTGAGCGGCAGTCTTCCTGAGGTGGGGCCGTTTGTGCCAATCTCTATTCTTCTTGTTGATACGCCGTTTACTATCTCCTCTGGAGGTAGCTGTGCCAATATCCACAGAATCCATGGTTTTACAGGTTCCTGAAAGTACAGAAAACACAAAGAATTAACTAAAAGGAAAACGTCAAAGCAAATGCAACACATGAAGGAGCTCTTTATTCAAATGCATATACTTTTGTTATGAAAAAGTTTTTAAATAAACAGCATGTTATGTGTGTTGAATGCTGTTTCATAATTTCACTTAAAAGTAGTAAAAAGAAGCTGCATTTGCAGTCCCACTCTGCATGTTGTTTTACAAAGTCCACCTGTTGCTGGCTAAGCTATGGTTAAAAATGCCTCCACATGGATATTCATTCATCACATCAGGAATAATACAACGGATTTTTAATCTTATCAACCACCAGGTGCAGGAAACTGCACTTAAACTCACCTGCTCACACAATAACGTTAATTATGAACTTCATACCCTGCTTAAAACACACAGAGTGCGCGATAGTGGGAAGTGCGATTAAAAACACCCCAAAACGAACAAATGCACCAACAAAAAGACTAGGATAGCTCGGTATAGCACTTCTTAGGAGCAGAATAATCGGTGAATCTTGCGGCCATTGTACAGTTTGACTTGACCACAACAAAGTGATGAGCCTGTCTTTGTACCGAGCAACGACCGCCTTGGGAATAGCGAAGTTACGACAAAACTATCCCACTTTGATATTATCAGAGCCCTTTTCCTTTCGCATGAAAACATGTTGTTTTCAAGCGACTGAGCTAACTGCAATAACGTTAGCTGAAATACCGTTTGAGCGATTTGAATTAACGTGACGCGACAAGAGCTTACAAAGCCGAAATAACTTGAAGAATAAAAAGCGTGGCAACAAAGTTACGCCAGACCTGTTTTTTAACCTCGCATCGAGTTATTACTGCAGATAACCCCGTCGAGAGCGACACATTAATAATAAAGCTGAATTCATATATGTCGTTGTCTCGGTTTTTACCTTTTCTTTTGTGGAGAGCTTGACAGCTCAGCGAGTGGCAGCCATGATGGTTTCATACGGGGATTACAGCCTCTGAGCTGCTTTAGCCTTTAGCCTGGTGCCTCCGACCGAGACCCGTCCTCTCCCGGCCCTACTACTAAACACAAACACCGAACAGTTGTAATGTAAACACTGCTCTCGGTGCATAAATGCAGTTTTTAATTCATATGGGGACCATTCACCTCAGTCAGAATGAGAAAAAACAACCCCAAAAGGTGTAAAATAACATTTCAGGCAAGCATAAATAAACTTATTTCCCCAATGAAGGTTGTCTCACCAAACTAACATCAACTGGTAGCAACATCAAATAAATAGTTTCAAGTCAAACTTGCACCCATAATTCCCGTGCTGGATATTAAGAGTGCAGGATGGTAAACAATTAGACTGAAATATTCGTAAATAGCAAGTCACACAATGTACCCCTGTAAATAAAAGCTGCCTGCATGGAGAGCAGTTTTTTTGCCCCCATTCAGAGAATCTGCCCCCGATAACAGGCCCTCAACACAGAGCTATGAAATTCCACAAGAAGTTAAAGCAGGCTGCATTAGCATGCACATTTGGAGTGAAAATACACATCATTACTCATAAATGAAAGGAATTCAGTGACTTTGGTGGTTAAAGGCTCTCCCATCAAGTGCTTAGCCTATGCCCATACAACATTTATGACAATATGTGAACAGAAAAAGATAAGATATGATAAGATATACTTTATTGTCCCCAAAGGGAAATTTATTTTGGACTCTGTCCATTCTGCAGCTTTACAAAGACAACACAAAATACAGAAATCTCTCTCACCACACATACTCTCATTGACAGGTATATTAAGCACATTAACTCCTTCTTCCAGTGGCAGTTTTTGATTGAACAACCATGTGGGCTGCATTCCCCACAAATGTAGCACAACCCTTACACAACCAAAACCGAAGAGAAGTTGTGTTTATAAGTAGTTCAACAGGGGAGCAATGGACATGGACATGGAAAAATAGTTTTTGAAAATGCACAACATCTTGTGCATGATGTAAAAAAATGTATTTTTTTCTCTTCACATGATCATTTGGGGGTATCAGTCCACTAAGATAATGTATTGCGCAAAATACAGTCTATGCGCTTTACCTTGCCAAAGACTGTAGGGAGAGGCTGTAGGACACTTGCAAGAAGACCCTTTGGGTCTGCCCTATAGTTCACAAATCACATTAACACACAATGAAGGGCTACTCCCTACGCTTCAATAACGGCCATAAAAATAGCCCACTGGGCCTGAGTCCAGTATATGTAAGACACCTTATTGCATCTACATGATGGGCTGTAGATAAATTCACACCTGTGACCTTGTAGTGATCTTTAATGAGACTCTTTAACATGAATTGTTAAAAAAAAGAAAAAAAGAATTCACCTGACTGCTGTTTCAGAGACCTGTTGCAGCTCATTTTAATTGTGAACTTACTGTCAGAAATTACTATAATATATTCTCCATCTTTTGTGTGTGACTAGCTGGTTTTGTCATTAAATCCTATATGAATCAGTCTATATGGGCAGAGTGACCTTTGTGCTGCCAACAACTTGGAACAGAGCCCTTCCAAAACAAAGATAAGGTAAAGATGCGCATTTTTGTTATCAAGGAACGTCTGATGTACAGCAAAAAAAAAAAAATCAATGGTTCAGATTTAGACACCGAGTGAGTCATTCAAGATCTTTGGCGTCAAAGTCGACCAGAGTATTTCAGATGTAAATCGACCCAAAAGATGACATTCTTTCATTCATTCTTCACTGAGGACGCACACTGCCAGTACCCAGTCTAATATTAATAACGGAAAGACTGCTTATATTCTCTACTTTGGTATTTCTGTCCATCTGTTTGGAGAAAGAGCAGCAGTGGGTTGTTCACACTCCTGAGCAGGTCAATGGCTGTCAGCTGCCTTCCACCAAAAGCACTGCATGACACCGGGGGGAGGGAAAGCACAGAAAGGACAGCTACCAGCTCCCTCCACCCAGGACACCATTTGTTTCCTCTGGGAGACAGTTTCAGTCCATAAGGAACAACACCACCCACCACCTCAACAGGTTCTACCACAGAGCAGCTACCATTACCAATCTTCTTAAGACTCACCCCCTGCATGCAGCCACAATCTCTGGACTGCTCTTTTTTATTATTATAAAGTGATTACAAAATGAAACCACCATGATTTCTTTGACTGTCTCCAGAACTTAAAAAAATAAAAACACTGTAAGGTTCCTTCCAGCACAGTATAACAGTACAATGATGATTAAATTTCATTAGCAGATAACATATAGTATTATATATGTTGTTCTGGGATTTTTGTAGATGTTTTTAAAAGTAACATACTCAATTATGCCAGTTCTTTACAGGAAGACTGATTTGTGACTGATCCACTGCTTCAAGGTTTCCTGACAATAAATGACTGGATATGACAGAGTTGGATCACACTGGCTCCATGAAAATCGTATTCTGTATAATATTATAGAGCCATCAATTCCCACCATGAGCAAGCACTTTAAAGTGACTGCAAGAAAAAGCTCCCCTTTAACAGGCAGAAACCTCGAGCACAACCAGACTCTGGGTGGGCTCTTGGGCTGAGAGAGAAAGAGAGAGGGAAGGAGGGGAGAAGAGTCAACACACTGGTTTCAGCTTCTAGAATAATTTAATAAATCTTGTTTTATCCTGGTACTGCTGATAGCATAAAGTAGATATAGCTCCAGTTAAAAACACCCATGCTGCTTGAATGCATATAGTCATAAGTGATGTATCAGCTGAGGTCTTTAATGAGATATATACAATCAATTGTCTATGACGTTTTACTGTGACCTATTCCGTTGCCCCAAAAAATGATCAGGAATAGCAATCTATAAATACTATGGCCACATGGGAGTAAAGCTGATTAAGTGTTGATGTGAAGGTGATAAACCCTGTGGTGGGAATGAGAGTGTTCAAATAAACAGCTCAGGCAAACACTTGTCTTTCTGTGAGTTTTACTCAAGTCTTCTGCAGAAGGACTCACAGCAACACACATACGCCGTGTACATGTATGCTCGAATGAGTGAGGAGAGCTCAGTGAGCCTGTTGTTTATCCAGCTTTAGGGTCAATCATATCATCCCACAGAGACACTTTGTCCCTGAAGTCTGAATAACACAGAGAACAGAGAAATTTGGACTTCACAGATGTTTTAAATAGCTACTTCTCGTGTCAACATGAGCTCTGCCTTGTGGTTAGTTGTTTTACTCACAAAATCTACAGACATTTATTGAAAGCTATTGTGAGATTATCTGAAAATATGGTGAACCAGGCCTGTATTATATAAGGTATTGGCCAGATCATCCGTTCTTTTTTATTTTATTCTTTTCCAATAAAATATATATATAGTCATGAGCATATCTTGCTCTGGCAATTGGATCCTCCTTTTATATTATAATGTATAATTCCCTTTTATTGGGTATTGTCTGCATAGCCTATTGTTTGCTATGCTTGTAATTGGCTGCGTCCTGTGCGCGCTACCAGTCCTCACAATGGAGTGATGCTTTCAAATGCTAATCGGGAACTTCTCACTCACCCTTAAAGTTCCCTCTGAGAGACATCAGAAATTCGGATCAAGTCAACCGGATTAAAAATGGCTTCTGCCAAAATTTAGAAGGTCATTTCATTCATCAACAATGAATCAAGCGTATATGAAGACTTTCGTACGTTAGGGGCACAGACAAGATCAAAGCACAATACGACGTGATAAATAATTTAGCCTATTTTACCACCAGTTTTAAATGTTTTCGCCTGCTAAACACAACTTTCTCGGGTTCATTTCCGTTGGTTGTTCGTGCGCACTCAACATAAAGATGCCGTTTCCGGTAACACTTGAAGGCAGCAGCAGTGTTTGCTGAGGTCGCGCTGAGCCCCACTGACTTCAACAATGAGTGTGAGCAGGTTCGACTAGTTTGAATTGAAGTTAAGTGAAACTTCCCGCAATATTCACTACATGTGCTTCTTGGGTGAGTCTCCACTTTTCACTCGTCAACAATGACATTTTTTCCTAGTTTAGAAAAATACAATGAACGACAGTGTGAACTTCTGATTCGCTAACGTGAACAGTTGTGCTGCTGTTGTCTGACACCTCAGCGATCTTAAAAATGTCATTGTGCATCAGAAAGCCAACTTTGGTTTTCCACGTGCTGGTGATCTTCAGCACGAAGTATGAGTTGACTCATTGCCTTTCACGTATTTTGCCTTTTAAAGGTTCCCAAAGCACTGCATTAAATGGAGCTAGAGGACCAATGGTGGAAAGGACAACTCGCAGCAGATATATACCAGGCGCTACGATACAAAGTGAGTGGCACACACGTTAGTGATGGCTGCCAAAACAGAGAAATTGCAACAACTTATGGAAATAAGTTTTTTTTTAATCATGTGTCATGCTTCAATTTATACATCATACCATGTCTATCTATATGCCATCCCCTGTTGAATGTGTTTTTGGGTTAGAGCATTCAGGTTTTCGAGGTTGATGACAATTAAACACATTAAAATCTGATTATATATTTATTGGTTTATGTAAGGAGAAGTTTAGAGAAAGATTCTGCAGTTAAAAGATAAATTTGTCTTTACTTGATGATGGACAAACCTATGTAATGGAGATGTGTGTGTGTGTGTGTGTATTGTGTATACATAGT